CATTTAGCTACTTATTAAGAACACTTTTTTTAAGTGTTACTATAGGATTTTGAGGAGCAGAACTTTTGTCAATCTCATTATCAATATTGTATCAGTTTGTAATTTGTAACTTACTATAAATAAATCAGTCATTATCAATGTATCAGTATTTGACAAAAGGCTTGCGTTTTTCTTACCCTGACCAATCCATGTGACCTGCTTGATGAACGTCAGACATAAAAAAATGGTTCATGGGCATTCTTTTGTCCTACTATTGGTGCTACAAAACAAGTTTACTTACGCTCAGTCTTTGCGCCAAATCGATAAATAAATGAATATTTTTTATGTGCACCTTTATCACTAACCAAACGGAATTTGTGACTGGGTTACTCCTTGAAATGGTCCAAATGTCTACAGTCTACTAGTTGTAGTATTTTGGAAAAAGTTAGATAGCAATGATCCAATTCAGGAAAATCAAATAGAGGTCCATATATAGGGTCAAACTAAGGGCCACACTAGATTTTCTTTAATTTAAAGCTAGATGTTTTTAGATCTCACTCTTGTATGTCCACTGATACACAAAAAATCAAACATTCCAAACACCAATTTTAGTGTAAATGTAACATCACAATTCACATGTATGAATTACTTGCTTCAATTGTGTTACGTTCTTAGCTAAATTCATATAAATTATAAAAGGTTATACATCTTATAAGACAACAATTCGATATGTGATTTTAAGATTTCTCGTTTCTTCTTTAACAAGTTCATACTTTTAACTAGTAAAAATCAATACCAAATTGTTGTCTCATAAGATGTATAACCTCTTAAAATTTATATGAATTTAGCTAAGAACGTAACACAATTGAAGCAAGTAATTCATACATGTGAATTGTGATGTTACATTTACACACAAAAAAGATTAAAAAAAATAGATTTATTGCGAAAGACATTTAATGAGTAGAGACATACATACATCCCTAGTGCGATGTAGAGCAACTAAATCTTGCTTTGTTAGGATGAAGAAGAGGAAGTAAATCATGTTTATAACAAAATCATTGAGAATAATTTATTAGACAAATTGGATTCTCATAAACTATACATGTTTTTTCTATTAAAATTTCCTTTTATTATCACGAGATTAATCAGATATGTATAGTAGTTACTCATAGAGATCTTTACGAGGCATATTAATCAAAAAAGAAGTAAAAAGGTTATTCTCTCTATCACCTTTTTGACATTTTGGTTTTACATAGAAGGCCCTAGCCAGCGGAGCAATGGTGGTGGAGTAATAATCAAGTAGATAAGCAGCAAGATCAAATCATAATTATGTGTTATCATTGCAAACAAACAAATAGATACTATGCTTTATATTACTAATAATAATAGATAAATATAAAGCCATGCGTGAAGTGATATTTTACTTGGCTACTTACTATCTTACTCTACTAGGTAGCACCTTTTTTCAAATTGAAATGACTAATGCTGAGAACCAGACAATTTAGCTTAATTACATGCATAATGACTTTTCCACCATAAATTTCAAATGTTAACCACCATAGTTAATCATTAGGCATAAAGCATACAAAAAGTAATGAGAAAAATAGCAATTAGAGATGCTTAGAAAACACTCCACTATCTATGACAAACATGCATGCCACCAAATTTACTAGTCAAGTTAATCATTTCAAATCTACAAATCAAAGAATAATCACAAAGTTTTGGCCCTCTACCTATAAGTAAGCATTTGTAGTTGTCAACATAACATAAGTCATAAAATAGTTACACCTTAGTAGATTTCCAATGGCATACTTTGCTCCATTGTTGAGCACATTTCTTTTTTTCTCCATCTACTATTCTCAAAGCAATGCACTTAGTTCAAATTACTATGCAAAAACATGCCCTCAAGCTGAAGACATAGTAATGAAGGTTGTTAAGGAGGAAGCACAGAAAGACAGAAGAGTGCCCGCTACACTTCTAAGGATGCATTTCCATGATTGTTTCCTACGGGTATATAACCATATTCCCTTGTTATTTCTAAGCATATTAGTTTTACTGTACTTATTTCCTCTGTTCTACCTTGCTTGAAGGGTTGTGATGCTTCAATTTTGTTGAGCTCTAAGGGGAAAAACACCGCGGAAAAGGACGCGCCTCCTAATGGTTCTTTACACGGATTCTATGTTATTGATGGTGCAAAGAGAGCAGTGGAAGCTATATGTCCTGGCGTTGTCTCTTGCGCTGATATTTTAGCGTTTGCTGCAAGAGATGCAGTTGTGTTAGTAAGTACATATCCCCTGCAAAGAAAATACTGTACAACAAGTGTAGATGTATGGTATAAATGTTACTAACAAAGTTCAAATTTCATTGAAGATGTTGTACTAAAGTAGAGACTATAAAAATCAGGACTAACAATACTGCAACAGCCCATCCCACACAACTTTAAAAACTGTTTCTTTATATACTCAACATCTCTCTCGTGTAGAGTGTAACAAATACTCCTATATTCTACAAGCTTATTGCCAGTTGTTTTTTCAGTCAGGCGGACCTTACTGGAACGTGCCTAAAGGAAGGAAAGACGGACGAATATCAAGAGCTAGTGAAACAACACTGCTTCCAAAGCCTACATTCAACATTTCTCAACTCCAACAAAGCTTCCATCAAAGAGGTCTTTCACTAGACGACTTGGTGGCTCTCTTAGGTCAGCATAACAAATGCTCCAAAAAAATTAACGAGTTAATTTCTTAAATGGTCACTCAACTTACATTCTCTCTGGCTTGCAGGTGCACACACTCTAGGATTTACCCATTGCTCATCATTTATGAACCGTATATACAACTTCAACGCCACACATGACATCGATCCTACACTACGTCCATCATTTGCTGCAAGCTTGAAGGGCATATGTCCACTCAAAAACAGGGCAAAAAACGCAGGAATAAGCAATGATCCTTCACCAACAACATTTGATAATACTCATTACAGGCTAATTCTCCAAAAGAAAAGTTTGTTATTTTCGGATCATTCATTGCTGACTACACCAAAAACGAAGGGCTTAGTTTATAAGTTTGCTACATCAAAATCAGCTTTTCATAAGGCATTTTCTAATTCCATGATTAAGATGAGTAGCCTTACAGGAGGTCAAGAAGTTAGAAAAGATTGCAGGGTTGTAAACTAATTTATTATTAGTAGCAATTTGATATATTTGTATAAGATGATCCAGGAAAATTGGATTGTCTATCACTTGTTATATTATACTACTCTATTTTATTGATTGAAATGGAAGAATTGATCAGTTGTTTCAAATGTTATAATTGGGAAGAAAAAAAAGGAAGGGAATAGACAAAGGAAGTTGTTACCACAAGTGGCCGGCATAAAGAACACAGCATCAAAGATTAGTTCCCTTGCATTTTAACTTTACACGCCTTTTAGTAATTAATATAAATATTTTATCATAATCCTCATATTAATTGAATGATATATAATTTCAAATTTTAAAAAATAATTTAGAAAATAAATAATTACTAACCGAAGGAGTAATATTTTTATGTAAAGAGAAATTCAATGAATATCGAACACCCCACAAGTCCATATATGTCAATTTCTCAAATTAACGAGTGACTAATATTTGATCAATAACTAAAAAATAGCTCCTAAGGGCATCTCCAACCCAATCCTCTATTTTATTCTCCAAATATAGAGTTCTCTATTTTTTCAGACAACCAACTCCAACCCAATTCTCTATTATACTCTCTAAAAAAGAATCTTTTTTTCTCTCCTCAATATTATATTATTATTTCTATTTCATTATTATTTTCTTATTTCATGATACACATCTTTTATTTCCTTTTTTCCAAATAATCACTTTATATAATATTCATGTAATATAAAAATTTATTTTTTCAAATTCATTACTTAATATAAAATTATATTTTTCCTAAATTTATAAATAACATAAATTGCAAGTTAATATTATATAATATACAAATTAATGGACAATTCAAATAAAAGTGAAATTATTAGTGAAATATAATTACATAAATACTCTACTTTCAAGATTATTACATTGCTCTCATAAATGCTCTATTAATGCATTACGGAGTTCAAAATGAACATTTTTATCCTTAATCATTTTATGTCTAGCTAAAGATTGTTCAAATCGGAGATTTTCATTCAACAAGAACAACTACGAATAATTGAAAAAAGAAATCAACAAGCACAACCGCAATCACAACTACACTAATTATGTAGATCATACATTATTTTTTTCCGAATATTGTTAAATCTGAAAAATGACCTACCGGATTACTAAATTATCGTTGTGATAAAATTATTATGTTATGTATTGTTATCTTGTATTTAAATTATTATGTCATGTATTGTTTTTTAAATTAAAATTTTCATCTTATCATTTTAATTTTGTGCATTCTTCATAGTGAAAATAATGATATCAAACTATATTCAAGTGACGAAAATTAAAAAAATTGAAACATTATTAATTCGGGATGAAAGTAGTATATATATAGAGAGGTGAATAGTAGTTCTCCAAATTTGGAGAACTACTATTCACCTCTCTATAAATGGAGAATAGAGAGTAATTTAGAGGGTGATTGGAGAGCCCTTTCTCTATTTTACCCTCCAAATATAGAGAATGGAGAGTAAAATAGAGTGGGGTTGGAGATGGTCTAAAATTGAAATTATATTACTTTGCGCTATACTATTGATCCGGCATATCTTAAAAGAATAGCATTAAAATGTTTTACTAAACTAATCTATTAATGATATTTTAGAATTTCAAATTTAATTATTATTATTATTTTATATAATTATTTAATAGTAAAAATTGATTGAAAATGGTAATCATTCTTATTTTGTTTTTTTAAATTCTAATTTTATTTATTTTTTTATGAAACAAGTAAAATGAAACTGATGTAGTACCAAGAAAACCAAAAGTTAGATAAAATAATTTAGAGAAATATAACAAAATCCTAAAATGGCATCTATTTGTAAACTTTTGTTATCTAGAATTTTGTTTTAAAACAATTTTCCCAATAAATTTTGCAATAGGGCCCGACTCGAAATCATCATATACAGTCCTTATCATCCTGTATATTCTGGAAGCCATCTTGTCGAATACCCAGAAATCTTAATCATCCATGGCATTTGCTCACTGCTTTCTTACCGTCCCGGCTGATACTTCAAACTTCCACACCGCTACTTCCATTCTTACCCGACCCTTTTCATCTTCGGTGAGTTCTTCTTTTTCTTCCTCAAACCTCAACACTTGCAGGCTCCCCGAGAATTTGAGAATCCGACACAAAGGTAATCCCTTTTTTCTCTCTATGACTGAATAAATTGGGTATTTCAGTAGATTGCTAATTTGTTTTTTTCCCTAAAGTTTTTCCTACATAACGTTTACTAATTCAATTTAGTTATTGAGTTGAAAGAATTGAAATCTGGTGGTTGTTGATTTGAAAATCTTGCAATTCCCTGTTAAAGAGCAAGTGTTTCCTTTACCCAACTTCATTGTGCGTATATGCTATGACCAGTTAACGTCAGTCTAAAGTTCACCATCCTACTATAATTTTCTAGGCCGTTAGGTATAAATGGTCTCTTATATACAGTTTTTTTTTTGAGAAAAAATGGGGGTTGGGGAAATGGGAAGGGGATTACAAGGTGGGAAACTGTACCCTCGCCAACGAGGTGAAAGTTGAGGTAGCCAACTAACTCAGTTACTAGGATTCCCATTTCCCCCCAAGGATTCCCCCCAGCTCTTTTGATCAGTTATCTGCTTTTCTAGTTTAAACAATGTATCGTCCCAACTCCTCGGACCCCCTAACCAAAACAAAAATAATGGTTTTATACTATCCGATGAACCACTGGACTTTTTAAAAAAATTGTAAGCTATAGAGATATATGGAACTTTTAGTTTTGTAAAGATTTTCTGTTGCTTTGTAGAATTTCTTGGGAGAGAATGTGTCCTATCTGTTTGATTGAACAAATTGGCTATATAGAGAACAAAACTAATCTTCAGTAGTTAGTTGTTACTTGATGTCTACTTTTTTTGAGGATTATGAAAGAGTCGGTAATCCAATCATACCACTCTGGAAGCATTTTCTCTGTCCTTCAAAATTTGGACCTTGGGAACTTATTATTGCCAATTTCTCCAGCATCTGTTAAGGCTCAAGCATCTGAAGCCAGCGCAGCCGCAGATGCTTTCACCAACTTCAAGCATGTACTGTTACCAATTACAGACCGGAATCCTTATCTCTCTGAGGGTTCAAGACAGGTCTACTTCTTTTCTACATTTTCCTTCTTAGTATTGGTGCTTAAACAAATCAACCCTTGCCTCCTTTAACTTAATTCTATGGGAATTATGGATTTCCAACTATTTAAGCCTCTTAGTGTGCATATTTTTTTTTAAAAAAGAATTAATTTCATTTTCCCAGTGTCATAATTGGAGTAGATAGTATGACATCTTTGATGGAAGATTGTGAGATCCTCTATAATTCTGTTATTTGGTGAACTTCATTTACGTGTATGTGACAGGTTTTGATTCCTCATTAGCTGTAGCCAAAGACAGAATTACATCTCACCTCTGGATGACTGTTGGTGGAGAGAGGGGGGGAGGGGACTTTAGAGGTGGAGGTTCGCATAACTCTTGGTGGGAAAGCAGCAGGGGAGGGGGGAGATTTACAGTTCTTTTGAAACTTTATAGTGGCCATGGTGGGTTAAGCAGACGGGGAAAAGCTATTGACAAAAAAATAATGTTAGAAACTTAGAAGGCATATTAACATAATGATACAGAAAGCTGTAGAGCAAGGTGTAGTGGGTTGCAAGTGCAGAAAAAAATTAAATGGGGTGTGCTGGTGGCGTTATTCTGTGACGGAGATAGCTCCCAGTGGCAAACCCACTGCCTCCATTGTCATTCTTATATGGAGAGAACCACCAATTCAGCAGTTTGAACTATTTGCATGGTATAACCACCAAATCTAAATAGGTAAATTGTAAAGGTTTCAACAAAATGCTGGTCCCTTTTGTTCCTCAACACTGTGGTTCTGAGAAAAGACATGTATTGGCTAATCGTGGAACAAATTAAGCACACTGTCTCAGTACCTTTTGTCAAACTGCATTATATTTTATTGTTGTCTTTCTCCCTCTTTCTTTATTTGAACATTTTCTCGTCATAATCTTTTTAGTGACTCTAAAAGTGCTCATCATAACCTTTTTAGTGACTCGACTTATGCTCATCATACATAATTGGATTTCCTCTTCTTCGTGTTCTATTGATCAGAAGCATCCAGCAGCGCCTCCCCGGTGTAGAATTCGAACAAAAAATGGCCATACCTACACAATTCACCTAGATCAGTTGATTTCTAAGTGGCATGTACTTTCTATAAACCTTATAAAGTAACTTATTCTTGGTACATTATCAGGCTGCAGCAACTGCCGCTGCTATGGCAAAGAAGTATGGAGCTGATATAACTGTTGTTGGTATGTCACCAATGTTGTGTGCTATTGGTTCTTTCAAAAACTAAACTACAGAGTTGACTTTCTTCGTACAGAAACTTTTAGTGGTTGATTTCAAGGAATCTAGGTCTTTCTGGTCTTTGCAGTTATTGATGAAAAGGAGAAAGAAGCATACCCAGAGCATGAGACCCAACTAGCAAGCATCCGATGGCATTTATCTGAAGGTGTATTTACTTTTTTTCCCTGTATTTAAAAAGCAGAACCAGTTGATGTATTGTGATTTAAAAGTGCAACCTGGACGGGTGCACTAGATTTGCAAAACAACTGGCTTTTTGCATGCAAGCCTGTAGCACAGAGTAATTTTGGGGAACTTTCAGTATTTGGCTTGCATTATGAGAGATTCTTCAATCTTATTATAACATGGTTATCTCGTTTTTCTGCTGCGGAGTTTTTGTTATGTGAGTCTGCAGTTATTTGATCATGCAGCACAGCATCCTGGTACATGGAGATAGGAAAGTTGAAACATGTTCTGTTTGCTTGTATGTTGTATATGCTTTGGGCTACTTCTCATAATACTAACTACTGTGAACTCGTTCCTCACTCTTACTTTATATGTGTTTGGTATGTATGCTGATTGGAATACGCAAACCTTTGTACAGGTGGATATCAAGAATTCAAGCTGTTAGAGCGGCTAGGTGAAGGAAGCAAGCCAACAGCCATTATTGGTGAAATTGCTGATGATATGAACTTGGATATGGTAGTTATGAGCATGGAAGCTATCCATTCCAAGCATGTAGATGCAAACCTTCTCGCTGAGTTCATCCCTTGCCCTGTATTGCTTTTGCCCCTATGAAGAAGAAATGTATCTGAAAAGCAAGTGGTGCTCGATTTTAGGATCAGGGATATTAGCATTACCTCACTTGAAGTTTGTTACTATCTTCATCAATCAGGTCTCCAACCTTTTGATACTGTTCTCTACTTCATTGACCATGAACACAAGTTTTACATTTGCGGTAAGTGGTAATAGAACAGAACAAAGAAGGTTCATTCCATCTTAATCATGTGGAAAGATATGACTGTTGTTTACTCTTGAAGTATAAAACACTTGTTCAGCGTGAAAGTAGAATAGGTTTGTTGCCTTTATACTGAATTACCGACTGATATATCTTTGAATTTGTATCTTGACTTATTTCTTAATACTTATCGTAGGACTCATAGTTAGTTAACTGAGTCACTAAGAATTAGAAATGAAGAATAATTAATGTAAAGACATTGATAAATCCCAACTGTGCTGGATATTTTAGAAGCCACATAAAGTGAAAACAAAAGGAATTGAAGGCCCAGCAAGACTACTACTTTAGTGCTACCATTATGCTGAGTAGATAGCATTATTATTAGTAATTAGTAATGAGAGTGGTTCAGTTGCTGGGATTGCTGTAGAAGGAGTTAAAAAGCTTTGGCAACGTGACCTCACAGAATTTGCTGGTGATAGATAACAGCAGCCAATGCTCCCAGAAAGGGTCCAACCCAGAAGATCCACTATACGCAAAACAGATTAGGAATTGTATATATGAGATTGATTAGCTTTAAAAGACTAGCTAGCTATAGGCAGCTTGATGTAGTTATCGTACTTACATGGTCATTCCAAGCTGTGGTATCGTTGTAAATGACAGCAGCTCCGAAACTCCTAGCAGGATTGATGCCAGTGCCAGTGATGGGAATGGTGGCCAAGTGCACCATAAACACCGAGAATCCAATTGGCAATGGTGCTAGTACCTGTGGGTACACAAACGATGAACATTTTTTCTTTTTACTGCAACTTCATAAGTTTCCCGATCCATATCAATCTCTTAACACTCTCTTCCTTTTTTTTCAATTATGTCTTGTTAGTGTAACATCCAGAGTTTTCAACAGTTATGTATATTGTAGGGCTGATATGCGTAAATATGTCTGTTTTATATCGTGCTATTTAGATCAATTTATGCGTTTGGTGCCTTCCATCATACCGTTATTAGGTAACTCTACCCGTCAACACTCTGGTTATTTTGTTTCTGTTAGGATTTAAGCCTTGTTCTCTAGAATTTGCGCACACTTGATATTTTACAAAATCAATGTATATAATTTAATTAACTATGGTAACTCTTCGTCCCTGGTAAAGTGAAATAATTTGAATGACATGTAAATTAGTTTATACGCGTTTGAAACTCATACAACATTTATGTTAGAGGGAAGTGTGTATATATATATGTTTCCAAATTGAGTAGTGTATGCTTTATTTTTGGAAAAGAAGTAAAAAGATATGACGAGTAGTTTGTGCATGTATAGTTATGGATGAGACTTACAGGGACGTGGGAATCACGTGCTTTTCTTTTGGCGTCGGTGGCAGAGAATACGGTATACATGAGTAGGAAAGTGCCAATAACCTCAGCACCTAATGCTGCGCCCGTTGAGTAGCCAACTGCGACGGTGTTAGCACCGCCACCATGCGTGTTATAGTCATCCTTCATCACACCTTTCACTAAACCAACGCCGCAAATGGCTCCTAAGCATTGCGCCACCATATACGCCACCGCTCTTAGTAATGACACCTTCCTTGCTAGTAATAACCCAAACGTCACTGCTGGGTTTATATGCCCACCTATACCACGTACATTTCATTCATAAAATCTTTGTTTATATAAAGTGTTTAAAGTTCAAATCCTGACTCCGTAATTAGTTGCGAATAGAATGGAGAGAAAATTAAAGAACAAAAATGAGTAGTACTACGTACGTACGTACCAGAAATCCCAGCAGTCGAATAGACAAGAACAAAAATCATGCCACCAAAAGCCCATGCAATACCAACAAGTCCAACGCCGTCGCAGGGACCAACTTGCTTCTTGTGGCCAATAACAGTAGCCACGCTAACGTAGAGGAAAAGAAGCGTCGCAACAAATTCAGCAATCAATGCTCTGTAAAAAGACCAGTTGTTCAGCTCCGCTGTATCAAACAGCAGAGCTGAAGGTGGATCCACGTAGTCTTTCACCATATCTTCTTAGTTACTAATCAATTATCGCTTCTGCGAGGTGAAGGAGAGTGGTGCTACGTTGGGTATTTATAAACTATAGCATATGTAGCAGTGAATATAAAGAGAGGTTGTGTACTGGTTACAACTTACCACTTACAAGTTAGAAGGTGTGAGTAAATTGATGCAACAAAAAAAAGACAACAACAACACATGCATCCATATTTGGACACTATGCCAAAAGTGGCCATTTACGTAACCTCCAAAGTTCCAGTCTGACGTTAATTCGTTACCAAAATAATACAGATGAATAATAATACGGTACCAATTCCTATATGTTAGGAGGGAGGGAAACGGATGGGGGTCGGAGATGTGCCTGGTTAGATATGTAACTTATTATTAATTTAATCTCAACTAACATTACTTATATATTCAATCATTATAATTTCACATTTATAAATTAATCAATGCATTTAAAAATAATCATAGTAATTGTCTCTCGCATTAACCTCCTTATACATATCGAAGTACTTTATAAATCTGTTTTAATATTTGAGCTTATTGATCAACCAATTCTGTAAATGGCATGTTTGTCTTTCTTTTCCACGTGACTGCTAAAATTTCTTTAAAAATTTACTCTAAAAATATGAGTACACCCCACCCCTCCAAAATTATTTTAAAGTAAAATCGTTATTTACTCCATTGAAAAAGATGTTACGGACCCACCGATTCTTTTCCTCAACTCCAAGATTATTCTATTTTAATCGCTACGCTAGAAAATAAAGTTTTCAAACTGCCATATATAGGTAATAGCTAATATGTATCACTTAGCTAGCTAGGAGGTTAGGACACACGATCGATAATCTAAAAAAAAAATGTAATGTATATATATCTTAAATAGTGTATATAATTTTTTGACATTTTAGTAGTTACAAGTTACAACCTAGATTTTTGTTATTGGTAAATTTTCAAAAAGTTTTAACTTTTTCAAAGTAATTAATGAGGGTATAATAGATAAAAATATTTTGTCCTTTCTTGATTTGTCAAAATAGACAAGTAATTAGGGATGGGAGTACTTGATATGTCTATGTCATTTAGTAAAAAATAATAATGTCTCTATTAAAGATATATTAGAATGAGAGAGGTATATATATATATATATATTTATTTATTTTTTATTTATTTTTTTCTCATAATGTGCTGTTTTTTTTGGTTACGTTATACATTCACTTTAGGTCAGTAAAACGATTTCATTCTTTGTGAATTTAGACGGAACATTCATTAATTTATATACTTGTTGATCGATCGATGCATCTAGAACGTCACATAACGGTAGGGACCGTCTCTCACATTATCTTATTGTACCTAGCACTGCTCTATAAATCTATTACAGATGGTTGAACGAATTATGTATGTCATAGTCATACACATATTTTACTTTTTTTCCCATACGAGTACTACTACTATATGTCTAAACGAGTATTAAAACATTAAAGATACAAGTACTCCATTGAAAATAATGTTTGGGGACCCACTGATCATTCTTTTCCTCAACTCCAAGATTATTCTATTTTGGTTACCAAGTTAAATGACTTTTCAAGCTGGCATCCCTTATATATCCAGCATAATTAGCTACCTACATGTGAGGATGGACAAATAAAATTAACTTAATTGTGTGACTACCTGTTTTAATTTAATGGGCCTCGAAACTTGTAACAATTGAATGAGGAATTTAATATGAGTAGACAGCAAAATCTGGAAGAAAATGCCTTTTTCACAAAATTAAAATTGCTGCTTAAATATAACATAATCTCAATTCGGAAAAGAAAAAAGAGAATGCAAATTACAGAAGGTAGGTTCTCAATTCTCATACAAACAAAGTAATACAAACCTTTCGATTGTTGCTTTGAAAAAAGGTAGCAACTATTTACCAATATCTTTTTGTTTCTGTATCAGTTTTCTTTTTCCTTTCCAAAAAAATATATAAAAAATCAAATTAAAGGCAAATCAATTATTCGATATTTCATCAAAGTTCATTTGATTTATCGAGTCAAAATTATTGAACTAAAATGAATTTATAACATACGGCTAAGTCCACACTTAAATAGAAACCAAATCGAATAGACACAAACATGTAAACTTTGCTGTTCATGTCAACAACCCCTTTTCTGATTTTGTAAACTTTGCTGTTCATGTCAACAAAATAAATATATTTTAAAATTTTCAATCCAAAATTTGCAAACTTTCTTCGAACAAAGGGCCACCTGCCCACCTCAATGTTGGACCAATTTTGTAAGCACCTAAAATCCCAAACAAATTGGGCCACCTTTTGCTAGTTCAAATCAAGGTACATGAAGTTAAGTAATTTGAACTATTTCTTTCGTATCAATTTATGTGATGTAGTTTGATTTTTTACTGAATAAATAAAACATAACATAGGTAAAAATATTGATAGTATCATTAAATATTGAGATAATATATAGGTGTGTCGTTTAACTTGGTCTTAATTGACATTTATGTGCATTATCCGATTTACAAAAGGCAAGCAAGCAAGTTGTTGGCTTTCATTTCACTTTAAACCAACGGCGTCCCTAATACGAATCCTTTCATTTACAACGTTTTAGTTTGTGTTTTCCATTTACTAACCATTTCTATTGTAGCTTTGGTTTAGCTATATGGCTTATGGTAACCACTAATTATCTCCCACATCGGACACATCAAGACAACGTTCCAGAAACGAGGCATATAATAAGAGATAGCAGGTAACAGGGAAAATTATCTTTGCGCTTGGGGCAATGACGCAGCTAGTGAGGTTCTAACCGAGGCGCGTCTATTGCTGGTTGAAAACTATTTCCAAACCCCTCTTTGGCCTGGGTTCTGCCTTGGCCATTGAGAATTTTTTGAAAGGGCTTCCCTTCTGGGTTAAGCCCTCTAATTCTAGTCTAAAAATATTTTTAGTAGTAATAATGAAAGTATAGAGTAAACATATGCATGGTTCATGTTTACTATAAATTATTAATTTATAAAGTATATTTACCTTGATATGAAGTATAACATATTCATCAATAGGGCATTTCCACCAAAATAAAATATGACTAAAGAAGGCTGAATTTTATAATTCTGCAAGTGAATAAATCAAATTATAATTTCACATAAAAAAAAGTTGAAGAAAAAAATATAT